TATATTTGTCTCCTCTGTACCTACTTGCCGTCGGAAACTGATAAAATAGTGTTCACAGGAATTTGAATTTTACAAAAAATGTACGATGAATCCAGTGATTCAGATGTTGAAGATTTATTACTATTGTACGCGTGGAGTTTAAAGCGAAAAAGGGTATGTATGATTACCTCTAATTAAGTTCAATTTTTACATAGGATTTACAATAATTAATACATGTGGATGTTGAATTTAAAAGATATTGATCACATTAATCACATACATTATTGCTTTGCTATTAATAAGCTGCAACCTGCAAACGGATCGTTCCTGATGCGAACTTAAGTGAAGTGACTTTGCTATTGCTAAAATGTACTCTGTGGAAGTGACACTGACAGATCAGCTGATGCAAAGAGTAAAGTAATTAGGAGAAGAGAGCCCTCTTGCGTATTTTTTTGGCATACATATTTAAAGCGCCCTCTGGATTTTGTAACCAGAAACGAATGCATGCTATATTCATACCTATCTATAGTTAATGTATCACAATATTTTACATAGATTTTGATTAAGCCTATTTCTAATTCCGGCCACTAAACTGACCCTTAAACGTATGGGCCTTATTACAAAACAATGTTTTTTTAGTCCAGGTCCAAACCATTGAGCCAGTTTTTGTATTTCGAATTGAAGGAAGGTGAGAATAAGATTGAATATTCAAAACCTGAATCAATGTTTTAAACCTAGACCAAAGATAAATCTTGTTTTGTAATGAGAGGGAGTAAATTCAAGGGAGGAATGTAAATTCAAAATACCGGGTGTAAAAAGACACATAACGAAGCCGAAAGCCACATATTCTACCCTTATTTGGATCATTTTTTCCTTTAAGACCATAGCTGGGACTCCACGGGTTCGCGAGATATTGAAGGTCAAAGATGCATTTTTAATTTTTTTTTTGCGCAATCGAATTCTAAGTATTGTTATTAAATTTTTTACCAAACAAACACACACAAAAATATAGTAACAGCCTCTTATTAAACTAAAAATAAAAGTAATTAGTTAATTGATACACTTTAAATATATTTATAAGCGTTATTTAAATTCACATGACTGGTTATTTATACCCATTATTGAAGCAGATCTTTAGATCTGCAACACCAGGACAGTGACATCTATTGTCACTTAACTAGACATTGAGTATTTTTAAGTTACAAATATATGATGGCACTCATATGATGATATGATATATGATGCACTCATATGATGGCACTCATATATTTGTAACTTAAAAATACTCAATGTCTCGCGATCTTTGCGATCTTGGTGGATGAAGGGCACTGTACCCCCTCTGTGTAACTCGTACTGCCAATTTGGCGAGAACTGTCAAAATGTAAACTCATATCATAGATTCACACCCGGTTTCCGAAAGGCCGATCAATGTTAAAATCAATTTAATCTCTTGTCAAGTCATCTGATTGGTTGACTGAATTATCAACAACCAATCAGATGACTTGACAAGAGATTAAATTGATTTTAACATTGATCGGCCTTTCGGAAACCGGGTGTGAATCTATGATAAGAGTTTACATTTTGACAGTTCTCGCCAAATTGGCAGTACGAGTTACACAGAGGGGGTACAGTGAGATCGTTCCTGATGCGAACTTAAGTGAAGTGACACTGACAGATCAGCTGATGCAAAGAGTAAAGTAATAGGTATAGGAGGAGAAGAGAGCCCTCTTGCGTATTTTTTTGGCATACATATTTAAAGCGCCCTCTGGATTATACTACTACCTACTGATAACCAGAAACGAATGCATGCTATATTCATACCTATCTATAGTTAATGTATCACAATATTTTACATAGATTTTGATTAAGCCTATTTCTAATTCCGGCCACTAAACTGACCCTTAAACGTATGGGCCTTATTACAAAACAATGTTTTTTTAGTCCAGGTCCAAACCATTTAGCCAGTTTTTGTATTTCGAATTGAAGGAAGGTGAGAATAAGATTGAATATTCAAAACCTGAATCAATGTTTTAAACCTAGACCAAAGATAAATCTTGTTTTGTAATGAGAGGGAGTAAATTCAAGGGAGGAATGTAAATTCAAAATACCGGGTGTAAAAAGACACATAACGAAGCCGAAAGCCACATATTCTACCCTTATTTGGATCATTTTTTCCTTTAAGACCATAGCTGGGACTCCACGGGTTCGCGAGATATTGAAGGTCAAAGATGCATTTTTAATTTTTTTTTGCGCAATCGAATTCTAAGTATTGTTATTAAATTTTTTACCAAACAAACACACACAAAAATATAGTAACAGCCTCTTATTAAACTAAAAATAAAAGTAATTAGTTAATTGATACACTTTAAATATATTTATAAGCGTTATTTAAATTCACATGACTGGTTATTTATACCCATTATTGAAGCAGATCTTTAGATCTGCAACACCAGGACAGTGACATCTATTGTCACTTAACTAGACATTGAGTATTTTTAAGTTACAAATATATGATGGCACTCATATGATGATATGATATATGATGCACTCATATGATGGCACTCATATATTTGTAACTTAAAAATACTCAATGTCTCGCGATCTTTGCGATCTTGGTGGATGAAGGGCACTGTACCCCCTCTGTGTAACTCGTACTGCCAATTTGGCGAGAACTGTCAAAATGTAAACTCTTATCATAGATTCACACCCGGTTTCCGAAAGGCCGATCAATGTTAAAATCAATTTAATCTCTTGTCAAGTCATCTGATTGGTTGTTGATAATTCAGTCAACCAATCAGATGACTTGACAAGAGATTAAATTGATTTTAACATTGATCGGCCTTTCGGAAACCGGGTGTGAATCTATGATATGAGTTTACATTTTGACAGTTCTCGCCAAATTGGCAGTACGAGTTACACAGAGGGGGTACAGTGCCCTTCATCCACCAAGATCGCAAAGATCGCGAGACATTGAGTATTTTTAAGTTACAAATATATGAGTGCCATCATATGAGTGCATCATATATCATATCATCATATGAGTGCCATCATATATTTGTAACTTAAAAATACTCAATGTCTAGTTAAGTGACAATAGATGTCACTGTCCTGGTGTTGCAGATCTAAAGATCTGCTTCAATAATGGGTATAAATAACCAGTCATGTGAATTTAAATAACGCTTATAAATATATTTAAAGTGTATCAATTAACTAATTACTTTTATTTTTAGTTTAATAAGAGGCTGTTACTATATTTTTGTGTGTGTTTGTTTGGTAAAAAATTTAATAACAATACTTAGAATTCGATTGCGCAAAAAAAAATTAAAAATGCATCTTTGACCTTCAATATCTCGCGAACCCGTGGAGTCCCAGCTATGGTCTTAAAGGAAAAAATGATCCAAATAAGGGTAGAATATGTGGCTTTCGGCTTCGTTATGTGTCTTTTTACACCCGGTATTTTGAATTTACATTCCTCCCTTGAATTTACTCCCTCTCATTACAAAACAAGATTTATCTTTGGTCTAGGTTTAAAACATTGATTCAGGTTTTGAATATTCAATCTTATTCTCACCTTCCTTCAATTCGAAATACAAAAACTGGCTAAATGGTTTGGACCTGGACTAAAAAAACATTGTTTTGTAATAAGGCCCATACGTTTAAGGGTCAGTTTAGTGGCCGGAATTAGAAATAGGCTTAATCAAAATCTATGTAAAATATTGTGATACATTAACTATAGATAGGTATGAATATAGCATGCATTCGTTTCTGGTTATCAGTAGGTAGTAGTATAATCCAGAGGGCGCTTTAAATATGTATGCCAAAAAAATACGCAAGAGGGCTCTCTTCTCCTCCTATACCTATTACTTTACTCTTTGCATCAGCTGATCTGTCAGTGTCACTTCACTTAAGTTCGCATCAGGAACGATCTCACTGTACCCCCTCTGTGTAACTCGTACTGCCAATTTGGCGAGAACTGTCAAAATGTAAACTCTTATCATAGATTCACACCCGGTTTCCGAAAGGCCGATCAATGTTAAAATCAATTTAATCTCTTGTCAAGTCATCTGATTGGTTGACTGAATTATCAACAACCAATCAGATGACTTGACAAGAGATCAAACAGGAGATAGTTAATTTTAGCGTTGACAAGCCTTTCAGAAACCGGGTGTTAGTATTATTGTAGGTACTGCCAAATTTAGTTCCTCTTCGTTTCCACTAGGAGCGCTGCTAATTTATGAATGAAAACCACGTTTCGAAAGTAACGTAATATGATTCGTTGTTGTTTCTTAGTTTATTAGGGTATTACAGTCTAATTCAAAAAGTGTTTTAATTTAATCTGTTATTGATAAAATACCACAAAAAATATACCTAAATACATTTTTTTTATTCCAATTATTTCATAAAAACGTGTTTTAATTTTACAATTCAAATTTGGGCGCGAAAACGCCAATTCTCAGGCCGCCATGTCTGTGACGTCACGGGCATTGTAAACATTACGCTTTGCTGAAAGAAATAAACATATTTTCGAAATAAATAATGAGTTCTAGTGGCTATAGTCCTTATCATTGGTGTCTTGTGTCTGAATGTAAGAATACAAGTGTTAAAACACCGGAAAAGTTATGGATACAAGTGCCAACAGATTTAAAAATGAGAAATACGTGGTTGAAATTAGCACGAAGAGATCCAAAGTCATTGTCCACAAAAACGAAATACTATTTTTGTGAGGATCATTTCGATGTAAGTATGCAGTTTAATAGCTCATATAAACATGTGAAAGTAAATTCTTGTCATTACAAAACTAATATTTTATAGGTTATGTTTTATAGTGTTTCATGTAATTTATTTCATGTTGTAGCTGGAAAATGACATGGAGAACTATACACAATTGAAAATAATGGGCTCGGTCAAACGAATTCGCATGAGACCGAATTGTATTCCATCGAGATTCGATTGTCAGCCTGGGAGAAAACGAACCTTCACTGAAAGTGAACCTCGCGCTGCCTTTATAAAACGGCAAAGACTATCTATAATTAAGGAGATTGAAGAGACCATTATTAATGAGACATGTGATACACCATTGTCGTCGTCCAGTGGCCAAGGTGAGTTATTTTAACTGGTCTCCTATACTTACCAGTCTCTTGAATGTTGATCAATAGGAAGCTCAGACCAAAAACACAAAGTTTTGCCTAACTGGGAGAAGGGTTAGACTTTCCTTTATGGACCGTCGATTTTGGGGTGGAAATGGGGGGGGGGGAGGGAGAGGACTACCCCCCAGGCCCATACCCAACCCGCGGAGCCCTATGGTTTTGGAGATATCCATGGTCAAAGTTTGTTAAAATTTTGAGGTTAGGAAAGATTTTTCGGATAGTTTGTATGTATGTATGTATAACTTTACAATCGTACCGCAGAGGGGAGGATGCCCCCTTCCCCCAGTACCACTCCCATGACAAGGCAATTCACAGTTGCCGAGAAACACGATTTTTTATAACCTTACCTCAAAACACAAAAAGTCACTTAATAGGCAAAGTCGACGCGGGGCTCCTACTTCTGGGTGGTTTGCAACATGCAGCAGGCATGGCTTCTGTCACGGCTCCGGCGCTGCGGGGCTCCGGCGGTCCCACGCGAGCTAATCGTCGCAGATGGTTTTACGCCCATCACCGCGGCTTCGGCTTGCTGGCCGGCCAAGCCGGCCTCAGCCGCGGCGGTGTGCGTTATAACCACCAGCTCCTCAGCTCGCGGGCCGCCCCGCCCCTCCGCGCCTTCGCGAATTTAAAAAACACTCTCGGGGTAGGGCAGGAAAGAGACCACGTAAAGTCGGTTTCGCAGCAATTCATTTCTGTCACTAACTTTTGTAGCACATTAAAACATTAGGCCAAAAGACAATGTATTAATTATTTCAATATAATCTACAACCAATAGGAATACTCCAAAAAAAAAAAAAAAAATAAGTCAACAACACGTGAAACGTCAAATTTTGCTTGAATTTTTCAATAGACTTTACAATTTTTAAATAATTATATCTCGTAAACCGTGAGTTTCCGCATCATAAAAATTTGTAAAAAGCCTTCTGTTAATGTGTACTATCTACAAAAAAAAAAAATGAACGCTCAACTCGACGGTCCATAAAGGAAAGTCTAGCCTGTTGTTGTTGTAATCTGGCGCCGCCGGTGTTTTGTTGTTTTCTCTGTGTGTTATTGTTTATTATATTTGACCTTGGCTTTGTATTTTAAACTTTATTTCTTGTATAAATGTTTAAATAATATAAACGGGCGAAGTACCATCAAACTTTAATATTATTTTTGATAGTGACGATAATGGAAAGATTACGTTGTGCTAATTGCACCATAGCTACTCAAAGATTGAAGAGACATATATTGACCGGACCGGATTATCAAGAAATACTGTCTATAATAAGGCAGTGGCATCCAAATCGCTCGGTAAGCTCTTTTATTTTACTTTTAGCTAGTACAAATGTACAGGTTATGTTATTACTAAGTACCTACGTGAACACTGCTTAAACCAGTCTGTCTATCATCACAACGTGTCCTAATAGATCTCAAAAAAACTCTACTTTTTTTACAGATTCAAATCACAGACCACATATGTGATGAATGTTGGGTATCTATTAATAACGTCCTATATCAAATGGGAGATTTACAACCACCAGTGTTAGGACACCTAAATGTATGTGTTAATTGTGGTCGATCACTTAACAAGGTTCGCTCCCATGCACTTCTAAGAAGAACTGACAGAGCTGTACGCATATACAATGCTATTGCAAAGTGGATTCTACCAGATCAGGTAATTACTTTTTGTTTATATCCTTCATACCTATTACATGGATGAACTAAAGAACATTTTTTTTAATCGCAACAAAATCCTATTTTCTATATCTATACTAATATTATAAAGAGGTAAAATTTGTAAGTCTGTAAGATTGTATGTAGGGGGTAATCTTTGGAACCACTCACACTAGTCGGATTGCCAAAATTCTTTCACTGATTGGAAGCTACAATGTTCCTGTGTGCTATGGATGGGCTATAAAACATCTCACTACCATCAAATGGAGCCGAACAGTGGGTGAAACCGTGTGAGAGTGGCTAATCTATATATATAAAAGAAAGTTGTGTTAGTTACACCACTTATAACTCAAGAACGGCTGAACCGATTTAGCTGCAAATTGGCAGGGAGGTAGTTTAGAGCCAGGAGAAGGACATAGGATAGGATAGGATAGAGTAGGTAGAGTAGGTTAGGTAGAGTAGGGTAGGTAGAGTAGGGTAGGTAGAGTAGGGTTGGTAGAGTAGGGTAGGTAGAGTAGGGTTGGTAGAGTAGGGTAGGTAGGGTAAGTAGACTAGGGTAGGTAGTCAAATGACGGGAGCGACGCCGCGGGTAAGAGCTAGTGTATTATAAAATAAATAAAACTTAAAATATAAACAGGTTGTCTGCAGAGAATTCTTACACTCAGCAACTAACCTTTCGAATACTTATAATTAGAGACACAATAGAAGGGGAATGATGAGCGGTAACCGGATCCCGCTGTGTGTTTTGCATATTACAATTCTACTACCTAGAAGTTTAAATACTTAATTGTATTTTCTAGCCGCTAATAATGTAAGAAGATAAAATACACCAAATAATAATAAGAATAAGAATTATTTATTTGAAAAACATAGGTGTGTGAGGTGTTACAGTTTGGTAGATCTTCCATGCTTTGCCTTGAGGCGTACAAATATTTATACACATAATTATTACTGTCCATTTTTCATTGAACTTTTGAGGTGAGGCAAACTTACAAATCTTTAATAATTTCAAAATTAATTGACACATCATTGCAAATTAAATTAGTTTCAATAAAAATCATCGAGTAACATTTCATTAAAAATAAATAAGAATAAAATAAGAAATAATATAAAACAAAATTTAGGACCATTAAAGTAAATTCAAAGATACTTAATGTGTTATGTATATTAAACATATTTATTATTACAGATACAACCAGACAGTCAAATCTGTCACCCTTGTTGGATGCGAGCTAAGTATGCTACCTCATCAACATCAGAAGCACCATCTTCAGTAATTTTTGAAGCGAAAGATGACGATGGAGCTCCTGTTTTGCCCCAGCCACTTCCTGAAGAAGTTCCAAGACCGGTAACCCCAACACCAGAAATGCCAAGTCCTCCTACACAGCAGAATATTATTATTTTGCTAACTTATACACATGTTGTACTTTTGTCAGTTTTAAAACATTTGCTTTCAACATATAACTATTATACATATACCAAGAATTTGTCGTATTTGTGGAGAAGATCACTACTGGTATTCCGTCATTTACTGCTGAATATATTGAAGATATGTCTACAGTTTTAAAATCGGATAGTGCAAACCTTGATTTTGCAAATATAGCCGAAATGCCTGACCATATTATTATTGGATAGGGTTTTCTAAAGAACAGTTTATAGCAGTCTTGTCAGAATTGCCCCAATTGTCAGTTTTGAAACAGGAAATTGTTGGAATTGCTGCATATTTAATTAAATTAAGATCGGGTGATTCTGACCACAGACTTATATTTGAATAGAGACAATGCAAGTGCATGTACTTCGCGTGTAAAATAGTTGTGAAATTCACTTTCTTTCTTTCATTTTATTCCGCGCTCGAACGTTCTCGGTGACCGACGCCAAACGAAAAACTAAAAAATGCCTCATTGTGCCGTATTGAACTGTAAAAACTTCACAAAAAAGTGGGACGAGATAAAGGAAACGTTTCTTTTCATCGGTAAGTAGTTTTATTATAAAATTGTGTGTTTTCACATTATTTTATGTTGATTTTCATATTATTTTTGGTTCATCATGATTTTACTAAAAAACTATGTAACTGAGTGCTTATCGCATCATTCATACATAATACTCTGCCGCCTTTGGTTAGAAAGCTGTTAAACACGCAATGGACATTAAATTGAACGATGGTTTTGCTCTCCCCTCGGCTTCATGGTGAGTAGGCAATTCTCATTTTTCTGTCAAATTAAGCAAATAGTGTTGTGTTGTAGGTACTCTAGAGTTGATCTCGATTCTAATAAGGTGTTTGACAATATTTTGAAATATATGAAATATTACTTAGCACGGTCCGTATTAAAAAAATATTATTGTTAGAGTTTTTAAAAATACTCAGAAAACTTTTAAAGCGATGTTTTATTTTCGCGTTTTGAATATCGCACTAAAACGCTTAATCAAGTGACCTCTTTGTCTTGTGACGTCATTGCACATAAATATAAACATTCGTTCGGACTTTCGTCGGTAGTGGTGAAGGATACGCACGTGTTTTCTCAGTACGACGATTGTTATCAATTTTAGTGATCTTTTTCATAGTGATCTGAATTGAAATCCCGTACATTGTGTGTCGTTTAATTGGGTGATTGTTTTTAAATTGTGTGTGTGTATTGTCTAAGGTAATATTATAAAACTTTACCACTTATTTCCTCTCCTCACATCCCTCAACTTTTTAACATGGACGAGGAGAAACCTCCTGATCCCCCTGATAAATCTCCCGACCTAAAACCAATTTTAACCGTTTCGCTCCCTCATGATGACCCGGAAATTGAACCCATGGATTCCGATACAAACCAGAGTAAAAGGAAGAGACCAGCAGGTTCTCCCCCTATCTCCCAAAATAATCCTCCCAAACTGGCAAAAAGCGTAAATGGCAGGCAGGTTTACACTGAGACAGATAACCCACCATACATAGTTTATGTTTCATTGAAGGACTCCCAGACATCGGGTACAACACTCCATCCCGTTAAATTTGGTATGTTTCTTACGAAAATCAACGTAAGAAATGTAAAAATCGGCGGAGTTAAAAGGCTGGGCAGAAACAGAGTGTCGGTTGAGTTTGTGTCGCATCAGGACGCTAACAGTTTTTTAGTGAATTGTGTGGTTGCGCAAAGCTACAATACCTCAATCCCACAATTTAATATAACGAGAATGGGCATTGTGAGGGACATCCCTGTTGAATGGACCGAGGAAGAGATTATCTGTAATATTAGGGTTCCCGCTGGATGTGGGATTGTAATTAAGGCAAGGAGGATGAATAGGAAGGTTACTTCTTTAGACGGAACAGAATGGAGGCCTACCCAGACTGTAGTCCTCACCTTCGATGGACAAGTACTTCCTAAAAAAGTGTTTTGTTTTTATTCATCTCTTCCGGTGGAACTGTATTCATATCCAACAATACAGTGCTACAACTGTTGTCGGTTCGGACATACCCGCACACTCTGCCGCTCGAAACCGCGCTGCTTTAAGTGTGGCCAGGATCACCCTGGTGACGGTTGCAAAACACCAAATGAATTTGCTCATTGTGTTAATTGCAATGGCAATCATTTCGCAAACTACAATGCCTGCCCGGAGCTAGGCCGCCAGAAAAGCATCAAGTCTTTGATGGCGGAGAAATCAATATCATATGCAGAAGCAAGTCAAGTGTTCCCTGCTGTCAAAAGGTCCTATGCCGAGGTTTCTAAACCAATTAACCAATCTGTATCATCACCTGGTAAAAAATCATCTTCCCAACCAAGAGCATCTTATAAAAAAACAGTGCTCCTTAAACCAAAATCCCATGCTCCTCTCTCACCGAGTTATGACAAGAAGGCCCATCAGGCCCTTACTCATAACTACTCCTTTTCCCCATCCAAAAATGGTTGCGCCTTCCCTATGGAATCCGGAACCAACACTCATAGCTCTAACAATATACTAAATGTAATTTCTAACATGTTGATAGCAGCGTTATCAAACCCTGCCCAAGTTTTACCGGACCACGTTGCACATAGAATAGCCACAATCTTAGATTATATTTATAAAATTCCTACCCCTAACCATTCTTCAGTGGAATGTGAGGAGTACTCTTCCCAGGAAGAGTGACTTACTCCATTTAATAAACAAATTTAATCCAACAATTTGTGGCATTGCTGAGACATGGTTACAACCGAACATTAATTTCGGGATACCATGTTTCAGCGTAGCCAGACATGACAGATCTGATGGTTATGGAGGTTGTGCTTTGTTAGTTAATAACAAAGTACCCTTCACCCAGATCCCTCTACCCTTTGTTGGCGATGACATAAATGTTGTCGCTATTAAGGCTGAGGATATAAATATTTTTATGTTTTATATTGCCCATCCACATATTGAACATATTATTTTAATAAAAAATTTATTAACTTCTGTGGGTGGCCCGCTTCTAGTAATGGGCGACTTCAACTGTCATCACTACAGATGGGGTTCAGAAACATGTGACAACATAGGTACAGAATTAGTGGAAATGCTGGATGAACTCAACTTGTGTGTCATTAATGATGGTAGCCCTACCCGCAGGCCTACACTTGGTCAAAGAAGCAGTTGTGTGGACTTGACCTTCTGTTCGTCTGGGATGGCTAGCTTGCTGAATTGGTGTCGTTTGGATATGACCTATGGTAGCGATCACTATCCCATCATAATCAAAAACCCAGCGAAATCCATTCCTGATAATCCCCTCCCTCCCCTTTTAAAATATCGCTTGGACTCCGCGGACTGGAACCTTTATTCAAGGTTAGTGGACCACCGCATTTCTTTCCTTCCATCAGTTAGTGCTGAGAATGCTTTGGAGTGTTTCCAAAAGTTTTCAGACCTGATAAACTCCACAGCAGAAGACTGCTTCCCGGTGAAGAACCCACCAAAAAGAAAAATCCCTTCCCCTCCATGGTGGGATAGTGAGTGCACTGCTATGATCAGGGCCAGGAATGAAGCTGAAAAGATATACAACCATGAAATGAACCTGGAGAACCTCCTCAACTTCAAACAGATATTGGCTAAGTCAAGGAAATTGTTCAAAAGGAAGAAGAGGGAGGGGTGGAAAAAGTTCTGTAGCTCACTGTGCCCATCCACACCAAGATCCATGGTGTGGCAGAGAGTGAAGAACTTCAGGAACTCCACTAAACCTCCAACAATTACTACCTTACCTGAGTTTTTAAAAAATAATTTTTTTAATAACATTGCTCCATCATATGTTCCTGAAAAAGAAGAATGCTGCCCGAGTCCCTATGAGGAAACACAGGACCCACTTGATATGGAGTTCTCAATTGAGGAACTCCAATCGGTTCTTAGTCACGTGAAGGACTCAGCACCTGGGGTCGATGGGTTCCCTTACTCATTTTTAAGTAAAGCAGGAATTAAAACTAGACAATACTACCTTGACTTGGCAAATTTTTGTTTTTCTTCCGGTTATATTCCTCCTGCTTGGAAGGTTCAGGTTGTCATGCCTCTGTTAAAACCTGGCAAAGACTCCGGTGATCATTTATCCTACAGACCTATTGCCCTATCATCTATCCTTATAAAAGTCCTTGAGCACCTTGTTAAAAACCGCCTTGAATGGCTGGTAGAAAGCAGGAGGCTGCTTCCGGCGGCTCAATTCGGCTTCAGGAAGGGTCTGGGTACGGCTGATAGTGTGGGTACCCTCACTTCAGCCATCCGACTAGCCTTTAGCCGGGGGGGAGTCGTTGGTCGCGGTCTTCCTAGACATTTCTTCAGCTTATGATTCTGTACTCTTACCCCTTCTCAGGCAGAAACTGCAAGAGCTGAGAATCCCGAGTAGGATTTGCCGAATTATAGGCTGCATCCTCTCCAACCGCCCCCTCCAATTAAGAACTCCTGAAGATGAACCTGTCCGGAGAATCGCCTGGAGAGGTTTACCTCAGGGTTCAGTCCTTAGTCCCATCCTCTATAATATTTACACCCATGATCTCCCCTCCTGTCTAAATTATGATTGTAATGCCCTCCAATACGCCGACGATATCGCCCTAATGATCACCGGCAGTTCTATAACGGACGCCGCCCTTTCCATGAATGTCTCTTTGGCCTCATTAAACCAATGGCTACTGGATCGTGGGTTGTCTTTAAGCGCCCCAAAAAGCGCAGCTGTCATTTTTACACGCAGGCGTCACACACCGGATATTCGTATAGAAATTGATGATCAAGCTATTCCAATCAAGAGTTGCGCTAGATTTTTGGGAGTTATCCTCGACTCGAGAATGTCTGGCATGGATCACGTGAACGCTGTGGTTGGAAAATGCGAACGCTCGGTTTCTATACTTAGAGCTCTGACTGGGGTGTGGTGGGGTGCTCACCCGT